ACTTTTAGAGGTGACCATATATTTTCAGAAAGTACACTTTTGTTCTTAATTTCATATGCTGTCATCTCCATAGGAAACTCACAACGGTTCAAGAAAAATCACAGCTACTTTATGCAGGCTGTGTGCATTTCACTGTGGATTGACTGTTTTTAAACTTATATGGTAGTTACATAGCACCTAGACCTCAGTTATCATGAAAAAAAGCCAGGAAATTCCAGTTTTGACAATATGGGACCTTTAAAAGCTGTAATTCTCAATATATGTGAATATCTAAATTTTTTTAATCTTTTAAATAACTTCTTATTTGTAGATACTTTGTAGATACCAAGACAAAGCATATTTCTTCACTATGTTCTCAAAAGTCTTCATTTCATTGTCACCATACATTTGATAACATCTTATAAGTCTTTTGCCAGCCCAAGCCTTAAATACATCATCTAATGCTGGGTACACACCATAAGATAATCGGGCTGATTTTGGGCCGATTTCTCCCCTTCCAACAATCCTAGGTAATGTCCCGATTATCTTGGTGGTTCTAAAGATTATCTTAACAGATTTTCCTGTGGTGTGAGGTGTGTTAAGAGTGACTGAATCTGCTCGGAAGAACGTCGGAGGGGCCCCGATCGCGAATCGTAAATATTCAACATGTTGAATATTTACGATCAGAAATCCTGATGTGTGGGGGGGGACATCGCGGCACACCATACACTATAGGAGCAAAACGGTTAAATCTAGGATTTTTTTGTCCTCCTGTTTGTGGTCTCTCACATTTTGAAGATCTTATAAGATTTTAAAAATCTTTTAGTGTGTACCCAGCATAATACTGCATTGTGAAATGAAAAACACACGTGAATGTTATTTAAACACGTGAATGTTTAGAAACGTCATGAGTATCTTTTCCTTTTTTTTTAGATGCTCTCCATTTGTAATTCAAAAAATGGCTTGTAAAAGCAGTTGATATGTGTGTGTATCTTACAAGTGACTGAAAATCTGGCTTTTACTGATTTACGAGCGTATACGGTGTCCTTCTACCCACTCTTTACCAAGGCTTGCATTCCTTAGAGGTGATAAGAGTTCTGTGTTTTCTCTCTGGATTGGCCAGTTTTGGCTCTTTGGCAGACTTGGGCAGTTTTTTTCTTTACTTTCTAGCATATGTTGTAAATATATTAATTCACTGATCATATTAACATTTATTTACCACTAATTGTTCTAGTAATAATTGTTTTAACATATACATGTATGTGAATCAATATGTTGTGGAGAATTAATTGCATTTTCATTAATTAAGTATTATTAATGGTTCCTTCATCTCTTATATTCCAAAATAGAACATCACAAGGTTGAATTAATTACATAAAAAAAGGGAGGCAGTGCCCAAGCTCGTCGTAAATCCTCGAAAGTTTTTCATATTTGTATTTTTTTTTAAATGTATGTACATTTATAACACTATTCTTTGTATTATATTACCTTTGAATCAAATTACAAAAAACTAGTTAACACTAATGCGAGGGTGTTTCTAATGCAGCGTCTATGGGAGGGACGGTAAATTTGACATCGTTCTCTCTTCTGACTGCCGTTATCAGTCTCTCTCAATTTTTTTCCTTTTATTGAAAGTCATGAAAACACTATCATAGAGTTTTTCTTTTGCTATTTGAGCAAATGGGAATGCAAAAAATATATTTGTGGTATTCTCCCATTCACTGGTGTTCAAGTTAACCCAACTATGACGACTTCTGCTGCTGAGAAACCCGGAAATGTAAAAAAGGTCCATTAAGATTAGTCTCAATTGACCCAGTCATTGACGCCCAGGCTAGACACATCTCAATTTACATCTCTGGTGCTAACATCTCATGCATCTCCTGTAACCATTTGTGACTGCATTTAAAGGGCAGGGTATCATTACATCATATGTTAATAAAGCACAAAATGTAATAATAAAACACCTTGGATCTCTCACAAAACCTTTTAAATTTATATAATATTAAGATTTTAATATATATAGTATATATCCCTGGTTGCCATGGTAACCTATCGCTATCAGAAACTTCCTATTTCCCACTTATGAAGTCGTGAGCGCTTCATGTGAGCGCTGCTGTAGTCTTAGGCCCAATCCCAATTCTACTCCTTAGCCCTTCCCCTTTCCCCTACCCCTCCGTTTTGCGCGTTCACGTTAAGGGTTAGGGGTGTCTCAATTCTCTTTTGGTATAAAGATTTTAACGAAAAGTAATCATTTGTTTTATGTTACATTCATAATATTTGCTAACTAACGTCATATGTAGACTGCACGATAGTGCCACAACATATTTTCATGTCTGATCGGGGCGATAACCACCGTAGACTCGTTGCTGGAAAATATAATGTAGCGATTCAGTATTTAAATATTGTTATTAATAAAAGTCGTGGGGCAGCGTTGACAAGTTTCTTTTCTCCTGGATGTGTGAGCTGCGCGATCT